AAGGCTTGCCCATTAAGCTGAACAAATGAGTACGTATTTTGTACATTATACTGTGCCACAGAGAACAATACTATATTTGCTTGAAGCACATGATCCTGCATTTTCATGCTCAGGTAATAAGCCCCTTTGAACCACACATGACCCAGGGGAGTTGTTTTGGGACTGGGGGACCTTAGCTAAATTTTGCCAGAGGACAAGCTGCAGCTGTTCTGGTAGAATTGACCCATTTACCCTTATATAGATAAGCAAAACATGAATGTTTCAGGAACTCAGTCTAGGTAAGAGGAATATCCTCTGAAAGCAGCCTGAAAGGTTTAACAGTTGAGATTTGACCTGATCCAACAAAGCAGTTTTGTGGAGAATGCTGAACAAAATTCCATTTACAGGCTAAATATTGAAGGCTGCCCTGGAGATGGGGGTGGAACTGACCTGGCAGCAAGCTCTAAGTGGGTGAGCCGTATGCTGTGACTTAAGGAGAAAAGAACTGGTGGGAGGGCAGGAAGGAGGGAGAAACAAGGGGAGCAGACTCCAGATCTCCCTCCTTATGATCTGTCTGCAAACATGTCAGAGTGGATCCAAAGAGAAAGCAGGAAGAACCAGCATCTGGTATTGAAACTTGGCTTTGGTATAAACTGATTCAACCCATACTGGTTAAACTGGATTATTGGATACTCTTTTTTTGGATGAAGAAAAAATAAGGCTGACATGTTCACCCCAAATATTTGGGTACTTTTCCAAGGAATATGAGCAACACTTGAAAGACCACACAGGATATAATTTAGCTGTATAAATTAGAGTTTTTCCTCATTTAAAGCATTTGTAAATCAGTATAATCACAAGAATCTTCTTTAAGCTATGGGAATTGTCATATATAAATGTCATGGATAACATGGACATTATCTCTTTATTGCAAGGCAAAGATTGCTGCTTCCAAAGCAGAAGGCATTTTTAAGGTTTCAGGATATTGCTGAAGGCAGATGGAGAGGATTACTTGACAGACACCAGATTGTTCCATTAATACTAAAACCAGTTCAGTAAAGGTTTCTGATTTTAAAACAATCTATGTTCCCTGTACATGAGACTAATTTTTTTCATATAAATGACCAGACAAATATAAGCTGTGTACAAATTCTTATTGCTTGTTGATCCTTGCAACCTTTTACAGTTCATTTCCCACAGGCTTACTGTTACAGCTGAATTTCTACAGATTTGAAAAGCTTTTCACTAGTAAGAAACTCTTGGATACAGCTTCTTGTATGGACACATTTCACTGCCCTGCCTTATTTAAATGAGTTTCTACTAGCCAGAGAACAATTTTATAATCAAATCTATCTGTTCCAGTTCCGACAAGATGTGCATTGCATTGCATGCAGAGTTAGGAAATGGTGCCATGCAAAAAGTGTTGTCATGAAGTAATAATTTTTGGTTTAATGGTTTGGAGTACTCCCAATTTGACTACTACTTTTATATGATTTCTCCCAAATGCTACTGACAAGCAATGGCACTTAACAGCCCATGTTTCTTAAAGAACTCCCCACCTGCCAAATTTACATGAATGGATCCAGAAGAACACGTGTGTAAATATTTGAAGACGTAAAAACTCAAGGGCATCAATTTCCTTTACATCATTTTAATTCTAAGAAACAAAACAAAGACACTCAACCAGCCTCATCCAACACAGAACTCTCCAAATGTGCTGGACTGAAATTTCCATCAACCCCAACCAACACAGCCAGCTGACACTACCTCCAATGGTATAATGAATTATAGGTATACATAGCCAGACTGCTCAGTATTACTGTTTTTCTTTTAAATCTAGCTAGATGAGAAGCTAAAGAAACGTCAGCCTTTTTGTACAATACATTTATTAATGGAAAATATATGGTAATCGCTGAAGTAGCAATAGAACACTGCATTTTGCCCACATTCTCTTATAAATACTAGCTTCTGCTTTAACAAGATGGAAAATATCTAATCTATCTCATTTTCAAAGTGGTAATGCTTCTTTCTGGTCTTTGTTCATCATATGTCTGTTGAAACAGATTGAAACTATCAATTGTAAATGTGTCTGTTACTTATAAATATCATTTCCTAGGAGAGCATTGTAGAGAAGATAGCACCCTTTACACTTGGAAGTAATCGGATGACCCACTTCACGAGTCACACAATGCACAAATTGACTCCAGTTTCCTCAGCAATTAATGTACTAACTGAGGCACGAGCTAAAAATATTATTCTTCCATCTTCTTTCTTCATGACACTGCAAATTTAACAAATGTACTAAGATTATCTTTGTGCATTCTAGAAAGAGCTTTTTCTAACAAAACCTTTTTCCAGAAGACAATTTAAAATAAAAAAATGTGGAAGGTAGTTAATTTCGTATCAATTTATAGTGACACTATCAAAACAAATACTACTATAATTCATTCAAATTAAGGGACTTGAAAAATGATGGTGGGGGAGAAAGGAAGGATGAATTTACAGTATCGGAAGATGAAAAGCAGAGGGCTTCTCTTCAGAGTTCAGAGGAGGTTTTCAAATGTACAACAAAGCCTTTAAGTTCCCATTAAAAAGCAGTTTCCATGTTACATGAAATGGCTTTAGAAACTCTGAAGTTTCCAAAGCACCTTCCTATGCAGAATGAGAAGATGCAGTTTGAAAACAATTTCAAAAGCCTCACTGTGCAGGGCTGTAGTTTTTGTCTCTTATTCATAATGAAAGAATGAAACTGCACCTTGACAACTTTATTTAGTTTAGAAACACCTGAAAGATGGCTGGGAGTGGAAGGGAAAACCATCATAGCTGATTAAATGGCTAGGCAGCTTTGGATTTTTTATAGTATAGTGCACCCATTTCTACTTGTGAAATTACCTATGATTTGACGATCAATCATAACTGATTTTGTAAGTAACAAAAGCAGCATAAGGCAGACTTCAGGTAAGCTAAAGGTTCATCTTTGCTTTTAAGACACATTCATGAAAAATAAAGAGCATCTATTGAAATACTTTGCTTTGAAGATTAGACAGTTATTTCTTTGCAGAAATTGGGCCCAAAAGCGTTTTGGTTCAGGGCTGATACGTGTGGGAATGACTTGCAGTTAAGAGTTGTAGAAGGGCAAATTATCCACCGTTTAGGCAGGTGCATGGGAACAACATTCAAACCTGAATGTCTTTGCATGAGGGAAGGCCCCACTCTGAGAAGCAGCGCTTTTCCCTTGCATGCAGGCGCTCCCAAGTCCAATCTTTGGCATGTCCAGGCTGGGCTGGGGATCAATCCCGTCTCAGACCCTGGAGAGCTGTTGCCCATCAGTATAAACCATATGGAGCTAACCAGACCAATGGTCCCACTCAGTACATGGGAGCTTCCTCTGTATGTGTGTGCACGAAAGCATGCAAGCACATGTGTGCAAGCACCTTCAGGCTCCCAACGGTGGAGTGCATCCTGGAAGACCTTCTTCAAAACTGAATCTTACCCTCAGGCTGCAAGAGGTTTGACCCACCTGATTGAGAAGGAAGGCCTAGGATAGTGATGGCGAAACTATGGCATGGGTGCCCGAAGGGGCATGCAGAGCTCTCTCTGTCGGCACGCGATTGCCCCAGCAGGTAGGAAATACACTCAGATGGCCTTTTTCAGGGCCTGCCAAAAGCTGGTGGTCAGTGGAACGTTGCCCCTTGTGCTGGTGGTCAGCAAATTCAGGTTTTATTGCAATGTTGGCACTTTGCGATAAAAAAGTGGGTTCTGAGTTGCAGTTTGGGCACTCGGTCTCTAAAAGGTTCGCCATCACTGGCCTAGGACATCTCCTTTTGCAGAGCTGTATACATTCTAGTCTCTGTGATACAAACAAACATCTAAACATTAATTTATACTGTTAATTTATATTATTTTACCGAAGTTATTTATGTTTGTGAGCCACCCCGAGGCTTCGGCGAACGGGGAGGCATAGAAATTTTCTAAATAAATAAATAAAATCTATTTTCATTGCAGAATAGAACTATGGAATCACTAGAGATCTCAGTGTATCTATGATTCAATTATTAGTAAAAAGAACGAAGGCAGTGCAGCAGTCGTGCTGAAATACTTCACATTATCCTAAATATGTAGCCATTGCAAGGGGTGGTATGATAGACAGACACTTATAATTTGCATTTGGTATTTATAAAGATTATTTCAGGCACATACATATATTCATTTTTCCCAATTTTGTTTTGCATCCTTCTGCCATGGAGCTTTGCTTTCCCCCTCCTTCCAAGCAGATCAAGACTTTATGACTAAAGGTCTTTTCTTATGTTAAAGAAGACTAGCTAGGCTGGCTTTATGTTAGAAGATTATTAGAGAGGGTAACGACAAAAGATACAAGCAAAATTAGGATACTAGTAGCAAGGCAAATGCAGCTTTATGATAAAATAGTGATTTGAAACTGAATGCTGATTCTTCCTTCCAAGGAAAGGAAAGGAAAGGAAAGGAAAGGAAAGGAAAGGAAAGGAAAGGAAAGGAACCGATGCTACCTTCAAAGTAATTCCTGCTGCTTATGAACCAATAACCTAGAATGTCTGCTTCCTCCCAACTGGTCACCCCCTTAACCTCACTCCATATGACTGGACTGATGATATTAAGTCCACCCGACACACCTCACTAGAATTTCCCACAGAATTTGCAAGTGTGGTTCTCAGTGTCTGCCCAGCTTATCTCTGGATCCATTGGCCTTGACCTTCCATTCATCTCATTCTCTATTCCAGGATCAGAACCTTGGTCAATAACCTTTAAAGGCTCTTTTACAGAAGGACAAGTACACCCAATCCCTGCACTCTACTACTGAATTCATTTGCTCAGATGTTATAGCTGTCCACTTGAATACCAAAAAATATACTGTGCTCAATATATTCTGTACATTGTTTTGTCTAAGAACATTTTAACTGCTCCTATGCTGCCAGCAGCCATCATCCTTTTCACAAAGAGCAATGGGTCAGATCAGATCAGGCATCAGAATCTAAAGTACTCACATCAGTGTCAGGCCCCTTGTCTGCCCCAGGACAAGAAAAGGTAACAAATTCATGGCACCTCTTGTGGACCACAAAGCAGCAAACTAGAAAGAGAAGAAAAATATTCAGGTGGTTTCAGAGTTGTTAATAAGACGAAGGTCAATTTATATGCATGCAATTTTCCATAAAAATGGTTTGGGCTGTAATCTGTCTTGTGAACAGACATTTAGATTAGACTCATCACAAATCTTCACCATCATTTCAAGAGGAACAGTGTATTTTCTGCACATATATTTCTTGCACTATTTTGTGACAATACATCAGGCACTCATTGTATTTATTACAGGTGTACTTGCACGATGGCAACAGTATCCTGTTCAACGAAAAGCAAAGATAAGCAATGTGCTACTGCAAATACATTTATTTCAGTGCAAATGGAATAATGGTAGATTGCAGGAGTGCCGTGGGCTAGCCTTCTTGGTGTTGGACAACAGGATTAACTAGGTCACGTCCCTCTCCTTTGGCCCTTCCTGCTCCACAGTGTCTCTCGCCAGACCAGAAGTGGTTTGTGCCAGGACCTGAAGCTGTGGGACAGCTTCTCCAGGGATAGGCAGCATGTTTCATCCTGCGAGTGTACTTATAGGTATTTGCAAGAAGCGGAGCCTGTGTAATCACACACAGCCACTGGGAGCTCTGGAAGGCCACAGCAACATGGCCCTTCGCGACGGTGACTGCATGTTCCTGATCCTGTTTCCAGTCTAGCCTTCTTGACACGTGCTGGTCTGACCCCACCTTGCCAGCACCCAATCCTTGTGTTTCCCTATGTTCCTGCCAAGGCTTGCTGGTTTCTGACCCTTGTCTGTTCCTGGTGCTGCCTCTGCTTTTGGACCTGCCATGCCTTGTTGATATCCAAGCTCACTTTTTCCTGACATCGCGCGTGCCTCGGGCAATCCTGCGTTCTGCTAAACCTTTCATCCACCTCCATCATCTTTGGTCCTTCTGTTACAGCTGTAGACACCTGCCACCTACGTTCCAGACCTGACAAATCTGGTTTTCATCAGCTTAACTCAAAGCCTGTTGACCTTGGAATCTCAGCTAAGCATTTTGGCCCCGACTTCCAGTTCAGATTCAGAGTGTGAGACATGATGCCTGCATATTAGGGTGAATGGGACCCATTGCTAGATCCCTGGATGCAAGGAAGTAACTAAAGGCTCCTTGGAACCGAAAAAAGCACACCCCTAAAATGGAGACCTTCTTCTAATCAGCTTCTATTGGAAGCAAGTAATTTCTGCTTCATTGGAGATGATTACATCATTCAATCACTGCCAGTGCAAAAATATGGGAGCACTAATATGCTCATGTTGCAATTTCGGCACACTTCCAAATCAGGAGGTATTCCCTTATTGATGACTCATCCAGAAAACAGAGAGGGAAGGAGACAAATTATTTGTCTTAATCAACTACATATTGCTGTAGCACAGTTAGGTCCTTGCAAGAAAAGCCAAAAATACACTTCTATTGAAGAACTGATCTAATGACATAGATCGTTTTAATTTCTACAAGGTCACTTTACCACTAAAAACTATGGTGACTTACTGCATCAAGAAAACATGTCCCACAAGGAACACCATGCAAAAACACAGCCAAGTGCTAGAACAGAAACAGCTCCTACATATATTTTTCTTTTACAAGGGATTACTTGTTCAAGCATTTACATTATAATAAGGCCTTTGTTTAATTTAAAGTAGAAGTGAAAATCTTTGGCAGCCTTCTCCCAACCTCCATGGTTTTGTGCTAGAATCCCCAGAATTCCTGGCCATTGTAAATGCTGGATATGGTTGATGGGAGTTGTAGTCCAAAATATCTAGAAGACACTAGGCTGGAGAAAGCAGAGCAAAGTGACTAATGGTTAGTGTGTGTTTGTGTGTGTGTAAAACTAATGTTCTCTTTATATAAGCATGTGGTTGTTCTTAAGAGATATAGACTTGTTTTTTTAAGGATTCAGTATTTTCCACTCTAATTTTTAATAACTATATTGACACAATAGAAGACCATTGTGGTTATCAAGCCTATTGTGGTTATCATGGTTATCAAGGCAGACTCAACATTATTTATTTAACTATTTGCAAGCAGCGATATGGTGGGGCTGACAGATACAGGGACTAGCTCTCTCACATCCATGGTATTCTTGACTACTTAACTCCAGGATGGTCAAGCAAAGAGCTGCCCTCGCTGGTTCTACTTGCTGTAGGATGAAGTAACTGCTATCCAAATGAAAGAAAATGAATCCCCACCATACAAAGTAAGAGTGTTCTACTTTCCTTGCATTTTAGTAGGGTGTAATTGTTTGGAAGTGGGAGAAAATTAGCAACAAGCTAGTGGGTATAGGTTCCCTTAACATATGATAGCTTTTACAGGATCATTCACAGACATTACAGAAATACAGCTTCATTCTGTAAGGTCACTAGTACAAATAGGACCAGGTGGACTTTTGCATTTGATTAAAAAATATAAAAATGTTTACACAGTATTAATTAATCCAGGTACCTTGAGCTTGAAAATGTCAATAACTCCTATCTTCAGTTTCCTTTACCATGCTCTGATAGCATCCATAAATTAAAGTTAAAAACTGATTATAGTCATAGTTGCCTTCTTCAGCAAAGTGCATTCTCACTTCAGGAAATTGTTGCTGCTGCTGCTGCTTCTATACAATAAGCATCACAAATCCTACATTCACAGTAACTTCTTACTCTGCCCTTACATGTTCAAAACCTCTAGGTTCAGCTTTGTACTGAAGACGCCGGTAGTTTTCTAGAATTATTAAATATTAATAATAAAAGCACACTAATAAATAGCATTTTGCATGGAACATCAAACCCAAAAAAGTTCATCTAGGGTGGAGGACAAGACTCGGCTGGCACATGTCCTGTTCAAACCTCTTCATCAGCCTTCAGTAACTTAATCTGGCTGTTTCAAAACATTCAGTCCCTTTCTGGCCATAATCCTATATTCTGCTGAGCATGACTTGGGATAGTATCACACATTCTCTCTTTACACTGGTGCAACAGCACTAGCAACTGCATCACATTCACAGAGCTAAGCTTGTAAAAACCATTTGTATCATGGGACTACAAAGCACCGTGCCTAAAGGAAGCAGAGTGAAAGGGGGATGCTGTCAGGTTGGCAGGTTAGGCATACAGTAAACATTCTCTCTCTCTCTCTCTCTCTCTCTCTCTCTCTCTCTCTCTCTCTCTCTCTCTCACACACACACACACACACACACACACACACACACGTGTTGCAATGTGATTCCAGCAGCCAAACAAGGCTGTCCAGATATTTCGGACTATAGTTGTCAACATCCTGACCAGTCTTTTGGGCTGAAGTTGATAGAAATCAGATTCCCAATCTTCTGTCCCCAAGATGGAAAAGCCCTTAAAAGTAGCTGAAGCAAACATTCAAAATGTACAACATGCACACTCTCATTCGCCTTGTCTGTCCAAGAGAAAATGATTGAGAGACAATGGCAAAGAGAAACATTTGCGCAAATTATAAACATTCAGCAGAACAAAAGGAAGAAGGAAAGCTGTAATTTTGGTCTCTGCTTCTCTCCTAGAATCCTAATTCTAGATCTAGATATCAACAAGGAACATCTTCATAAACAACGGTAAAGCACTGCTAAGAAAAGCACAGGCTCCCATTCACAATAACACCAGGTATCCCTTCTCCAGTTTCAATCTGCATTCCCAAAAGTGAGAGTATAGGGTGCTTAAACACCAGTAGCCACAAAGCGCCCCCTGTGAGACATGTGGAACCAAAGGGAGGGATTCTCTACTGGGGCGATCTTCACTTCCCAGGGTCAGACAGCTACTTTAGCCAGAGCTTCACCCACAAAATTGGTTTAAACCATCAGGCCACCCATGGCTTGCAAATAAATGGTACAGTTCATAAGCTGAGCCATGAAAAGGAGAATGTCAACAAAGAAAACAGCTAAAGAAGCACACAAGGAAATTTCAAATGCCAAAATATCTTTATTCTAATCCAAGATGAGAAAAGCTAACATTTTGCTAAGAAAAATGAAAACAACTTAAGATTGTAATTCTATGCACATTTAGTTGGGAATCAGTCCACTGAATAAAGTATGGCATACTTCACAGTAAACATGGTTGCAAAATATTGTGGAAAACAAATATACACAAAACATCCCATTGGCTAAACAAAGATCTGTATTTATTGTATTGTTTAGTGCTTTTTTTTGGAAAGCTGGATAAACAAAAAGTACTGTGTATCTTCAGGTTTTTAAAAAATTATACTGCTTAGGGAACAATCCTATATATGGGTAGACAGGAAAAGTATGTTCGGCTGGAGAATGCTAAGAGTAGTAGCACTTTTTTCTACCTAAATGCACCCTTAGACAGTTTTTTTAAAAATATGGTAAGCATTATGAACATCTATTAAATAACAACATCAAAATAAAAACAAGGAAATGCCCCAAAATTAGTAACAAAAGTAGAAATGAACCACTATTAATACAATGAAAGGGTTTTGTATGAACCCATATGTATTATCTTCTCTTCAGGAATCCATCCTTATAAAGCTAGGATGGGCAACTTGTGGCGCTCCAAATTCGGTCTGCAACTTCTAGGGCTGATGGGAGTTATAGGCCAAAACATCTGGACAGAGGCAAGATGCCCACTCCTGCTATAAAAGAAAGCAATCTTCATAATTGTTTGGGTTGCCCTCTGCCACTCCACAGAAACCTATACAATGGCATTCACTAGGAAACTTCAGTACTCCGAATAGAGTTTTCATTTGTTGTTGTTGTTAGTTGTGAAGTCGTGTCCAACCCATTGTGACCCCATGGACAGTTGTCCACTCCAGGATACTGGAGTGGGCTGCCATTTCCTTATCCAGTGGATCAACTTTTGTCAGGCTCTCTGCTATGTCCTGTCCGTCTTGAGTGGCCCTGCACGGCATAGCTCATAGCTTCATTGAGCTACACAAGCCCCTTTGCCACGACAAGGCAGTGATCCATGAAGGGGAGAGTTTTCATACTTTCCAGCAATTTCTACTCTTCTAACTTTGAAAGATAAATTTATTTGGA